AAGTTCATGATAGGTGTTCCGAGAAAATGCTCGAAAACTCGGAATTTTTGATAGACACTATATATTTTTTTTTGACCAAAAGTGTTTTCTAGTCGAGATCAGCCTTTTGAACGAAAAAAAAATCGAAAAAAAAACTTTTCCAAAAAGTGGATGGGTCTCCATGGATTCACCCATATAATGAAACGAAAATTACGAAAGAACTCTTTAAATAAATTATCAATTGTATCTTCCATCTATTGTGATGAGTCACTCATGTGGCTTAATCACTTGGCTACTTAAAGAATAGAAAAAAAAGTAATTTCCTTTCAGCTATTCGTTTCACGAGTAAGAGCAAATATTTATTTGAAAATATAAAATTATATGTTAATTTTTACGTCTTAAATCAAAGATGAAATATCATTTTAGATAATTTTTTTTGTGAAAATTAATGAAACACAAGACAAATGAGAAAAATTTTCCCAAAACATGAGATTCAATATTCTGAAGAAGCATCAATACTATAGAACACAATTCATACATTTTTTTTTATTTTTTTACTTAACGATTATAGTTTTCGATTTAAAATGTTCATATTTTTTGTAACGGTCTAAAGTGAATGTGTATTGTTATCAAGTATCTTAATTTGATCCATAATTTATTTCTCATGTGTGCTTGTGTTTACATATGTTGTAGTGTTCTGAATACAGATTTTTATTCATTTTTTCTTACATTTTGTGGATAAATGTTTTATTTCTATGTCATAATTAAACAAATTTTAAGAAGATGAAACACTTCGTTTCTCAGCTTCTTATCGTGTAACTCACTGTTGTATCATTAACTTTTGAAATAAATAAATTGAACCTAGTAAAAGGATACTGAACGAAATATGCGTCTGAATATTTTACGAAAACCCCACCAGAGTGCTTACAGAATATATGATGAGTACTCACGAAACACTCGATTTTACAAGGCTAGTACTCAATAGTCGTACTCAGATATTCAGATCTAAGCACAAGTACTACTAATAAGTACTCAAAGCTCCGAAACCAATACCCACATCCTATACCACTCAAAAGCAGTACCTTTCAAAAATTGACCTATATTTTGAAGTAACATTTCTTTGTCACATCCATAAGATGAATTGGTATGTTGATGGAGTTGTAAGAGATATGGACGTAGTTTCTCTTCAGTTTTACCTGGCAAAGAAGGAGCTATTGTAGTTTGTTGGATTTTGACTGCTTATCGTGCAGGAAGAGAGAGTAAGGTATTTTGTGGTGAAGGAGCATTTAATAAAGAATGAGAGTGTATGGAGTTATTAGAAGAAGAGGGTGGTAATGGAGTTGTTGGAGAGGGTATGAATGAAGAAGTACGAACAGCAGCAAGTGTTGCACGAATTGCAGCTGCTAATTTGGATATTTGTGTCGAAACATAAGTATGAAAGTCTTGAAACTGGGTATCTAGGTGTTGAATCGTGCCATATAATTGCTGTTATTTCAATTTATGAGCCGTGGAGGGATGCTTTGCTTTCTCGTTGAAATTCTATTCGAGTTGAGTTACTGTGGACTGTACAGTAGTCAACGTGGCTTCGATAGAAGTTGTGTGTGTTGTCTCAAGTTGTAGTGCATCTCGGAGACTAGTGAGATAATCATGTCATTTTTGCCCGTCAGACTCAGTCATAGTTAAAATGGAATCGTGCTAACGTAAGATAGGAAAATAGGAGGCTACTAATAATAGTAAAAAGGCAAGAAAAAAATAAAGAACATGATGAAAAGTTTAAAGAAAAAATGTGCTTAAGTGAAGAGAAAAAAATGTAATCAAAATTCAATTTGTGTGATCACCACGTGTGATGGAACGACTCACTCGTTCTGAGTTTATTTCAATAGTGAATCAACGATAATATATGAACGCAGTATATATATTTCAGCAGATTGTAAAACGAGAGAAAATGATTAATGAATAGAATATGAGAACATGACAGATGTGCTCGATCAGAGCCATGAAGAGAAGTGACGAAATAGCATCCGTCACAATCCGATCATCTCAATCTTGTAAAAATTACCGCTCGTTATATACCCAAACACCTCATTGATTCTCAACGAGCTGAACGAGTTCAAATATGCAAGGAAAATTTAGTAAAATTCGAATCAGGTGCATGGTGACGAGTCCTGGTTCTACCATACACAGCGTGGTCGAAAATCATCAAATTCTGCGTGGGTTGCGAGAGATGATCCGCCAATTACAGTGATTAGACATGGTTGCTTTTCACCAAAAACCTTATTTAGCATCTTTTTTAAATCAACTGGTCCTGTTTTAATTCACTATGTGGAACCGGGAGAAACTATCGACCATCAATATTACATTAAGTACTGCTAAAAGCACTCATTAGCAACATCAAGAAGCAAAGACCTTCATGTGGTATTCAAGATATTGAACGTCATTGTGATAACGAATGATCATATACTCATCAACCGGTCTCGAATTATCTCGAATATGAAGGCATCAAAATAATTCCACATCCGCCTCATTCTCCTGATTTATCACCATGCGATTTTTGGTTATTGGACCTCATTAAAGAAAATCTGAACGATCAAAACACCTCAGAATCGTTGTATCGTGCTCTGTTCAATTTTATGAACTCTTTCAATAAAGAAGAATATAGAAAAACATTTGATAAATGAATTCAACGGATGCAGTTGTGTGTGGATAACAACGGTGACTACTTCGAACATTTCATGGAATAAAAACAGAGACGAAGAATAAAGAGAAAAAAAGTTGATGAAACATGTTGAAACATAAATTATCATCGACTACAACTAGCACATAACGTATTAGAATAAGTTTTATAAATAATTTAATGCCATAATATTAGATTAAGTATGATTAAATAGTATAGAAAGATAGAGCTTCGTTTTCTCTATTAGACGGTATAGAAAGAAAATTTCTTGAAATCTACTTTAGGATAAAAAATTGTCACTCTCACTACTTTTGGTATGTCCTAAGTAGTATTGTGTTGACTAGCAATAATTAAAGATATATGCATGGAAAAAAATGATGAAAGAACAGTCGTTAAATATGTACAGTACTATTAATAACGCGATAAATTTTCTTGCTGGAACCCACAACACAAAAAGTCAACTAATTTCTATTTATAATGTATCTTTGGAGAACTGTCTAAAATTTTAGATAAGATTTATAGCAAGTTTCGTTACTGATAACTTTTCTACGAACAATCATCATCGCAAAACCTTTCTGGCATTCGAAACACAAAATAAAGTCTGGCGTATATTTCCAAGTCTCTATTCTTCAGATATGTTATGTTTATCAGTAAAAAATGGTTCGGTTTGGTATGACTATTCAAGTGCTTATCAACTACTGCCATCTATACTTTGTCTTTATCCTGTATTTCTATTCGTAGTACATGGCATCGTATTGCTTTTATGTTGTTACTTTTGATGAAAGTAGCCAGACGTTGTTTTCTAATTCAAAAGAACGCACATATTATGTTTAAACTAAACACTGCAACCAAGTTATTTTACAATATTCGAAAATATAGTGTATCAACAGGTAACGCACTCCAATCGTGAAACTATATCTTATTTAATACAACATAGAATTTTCAAAAGTCAGCAGATGCATACAGAGTGCAATTTGAAGTGAGCTCATAGATAAAATTTCAGAGTGTGGGTCCGAAAAGAGCATTGGGTTTTGTAAAACTTTCATTTGGACGAAGATCACAATGAAACACTGCTGGCAATCGCCCACTTTTCTAATACTTACTTGGAATCATAGGAAGTATAACTGGCTATTGTGTTTGGTATACTATGACTACATCGAGCATAAAATAGCAACAGAAAACATCCACACTTTTACTATTCGCACATTTAGGCGAATGTTTTTTGTTCAATATGATGATATTCTTATCATTATTACTTTCTTTGAAGACATTCTGAACACTTACTACTGACCGAATTTCATTCATTTTTGCATCGAAATCTATTCGTTAAGTACGATTGTTAAAAAGATCGTCTTGAAGAATGACATTTTGCGAATAGCATAATTCACTGACTGCTTTTTCTGTTACAGTAATTGGAATAGATTTTATATACCTGTCACCACTGGGATGTTACTTTTCATGGTGATCATTGCCTTTTCATCTGAGCAGATTTAGTTACTCATCGATAAAAATAAAAGATTCATGAGTAAGTGATTATGACGTTTTTCTGATAACTTGTACGAAATCTAAAATGCTGATATAGTGGAATCCCCTACCTTGCATGAATTCTATGAAAGATATAATTTAAATATACCACAAAAATAAGTATTCGAAACATAAATCCAATCATCAAGGTTGATTTCATACCTTTTTCGCATATGTACGGAAAGAATGCATTCACGGAAGGAAATTTTCTGTTCTAATATTCATTGATGAAAGTGATGTTAACAATGAGATTCTCTCCTATCTTATTAAATTGGAGATTATATACTGAAAGACTCGAAAAACCATACATGATAATGTTAGTGGCTCTCGTTCTACACTGAGTGATGTCGACGTATAACACTCTGCGTATATTAGAACAAAAGTTCTCGTACATTTCCTAAAAGAAATAAGTATAGTATTGATATATAATATTATCACTTGCATATTATTTTAGTTGATGGCATCGCAAATATGTCTAAGGAATTAATTCTATATCATTATCCGCAATCAACATTCGCGGAGAAGGTGAGAACGGCGATGGGTTTAAAAAAATTAAAATGGTTTTCCGTTATCACAAATCGAATTCCTCCAAGACCTCATCTTGATGTTCTTACTGGCGGTTATCGACGAATACCTGTGCTACAGGTTGGTGCTGATATGTATTGTGACAGTCATCTGATTCTGCGTACTCTGGATCGCCTTCGACCCGATTCGCCATATTTTTTCTCCAACAGATTAACACAACCTCTGTGTTGGTGGTGGGATAAAGCAATGTTTGAAGAATTGCTTAGGCTACGAGTTGGTCTTCATGGCGATCAATTGCCGAAAGAGTGGCTCTCAGATCGACAAAAATTCGCCCCTAAAATTACTTTTACCAAGGCAGATAACGAGAAAGATATACCGTTGATAGTACAGCGTATCAATGCACATCTTGCATGGCTCACGAACATGCTCGACGACGGCAGAATATTTCTACTCGGAGATTCGATGCCATCTGCATTCGATATTACTGCTTATCATTTGCTTTGGTTCATCAAAGTAAATTTTGAAAATGAAACGAAAGATTTCTTTCCAGAACTATCTCAACCAAGAGTAGTTTCATGGTTTCAGCGTATCGCTGCGCTAGGTCATGGTACAAGCATAGACATAACTGCAGAAGAAGCATTCAAAATAGCAAAACACGTCGAACCAAGTGAACCAAATTACATTCATAGCAAAAGAAACAGCAAATGGCATAAAGGGCAACTTTTACAAGTTCTACCAAATGATATGGGTCGTGAACCTGTACAGGGAACATTTATTGCAGCAGATGATTATGAAATAGTGCTTCGCCGTTCAAATGAAAGCATAGGCAATATCAATGTTCATTTTCCTCGTGCTGGATTTGATATTACTGAAATAAAATAGATAACTGTAAAAAAAGTCCCTTGTTTCTCATAATATAATTAAAAGTGAACTCATGAATCAATAGTCTAATAAGAATAAGAACAGAAGATCACGAGATTGAGGGTGTGGTGCGGGTGTAAAATTACTGACTTTATCATTGTATTCATATGCACATCAACACTTGTCCAGATGCTGTATAGAATGAATATTAAGCGTTGATAATCTCTGACACTGGTTTTTTGACTGGGAATACCTCTAGAATTTGCTTTTACTGTAGATGGATGTAACGGATGGGCCAGAAATAATGAAGGATTGCGTATTCTTCGAATATCTCCGCCAATTTTCGTCCTTTTGGCCTACGCTTTTGTTTTTGAAAAATACCTAATTTTATTCTCTATAAAACTATGGGGTGACTTTCACATTTAACTAAATTCTACGCATTCTCTATCATGAAAAGTAAAGACCTACAAAAACTTGTACTTTCAAAGTACGAAAATAGTGATGGAACGACAAAGATCTTTCATGATCTCAACGGCACCATCAGTCTTTCAACAATCGAGCGATGGTACAGAAGAATCCGTGAAAGCGGTTCTATCAGTTTATTCATTCCACCTGGTCGCCAAAGAACAATTCGAATGAAAGGAGCTTTTCAAAAGAGCAAAACACGATTAAATCGACAAAAGTTAGTGTCTTCCCGCAACGAAGACGTGATGGAGATTCTGTTTTCAGACAAAAAAATGTTCGATATTGACGGAGTCTATAACTTTCAAAATGACCGAATATGGGCGGTTAGTCGTTCAGAATTCGATACCAAAAGTGGTATCCGGCAAAAACGTAAATTTCCGCAAAAGGTTATGGTTTGACTTGGCGTTTGCTCTAAAAGTATATCACCTCTAGTAATTTTCGAGAATGGGACAGTCGCTCTCAAGTATGGCAATGATATGCTTGGGAACAATTGGAGCTTCCAACAAAATGCTGCAATGCCACACAATCATGCAAAAACATAGGAGTGGTGTGCAAAAAATGTTCATTCTGCATTGGCAAGAAACATTGGCCTCCAAACAGTCCTGATTTAAACTCATTGGACTACTATATTTGGAATGAATTCGCACAAGCGATCAGATAGAATACAGTGACATCTAAAAACACTAATTGTGGTGCTGAAATGGGCTGTAAAAGAAATTTCAAAAGATGTTGTCTTTGAAAGTTGCTTGTCTTGGACTAATCGATTGCCTCAAGACAAGGTAAATTACCTAAGATAATAATAATAAATATTTTTGTAGAGAATTGAACAAAGAAGTTTTTGAAAAAAATTAGATAGAAAAAACAAACATTGTCGGATATATTTAAGAAATACGGAGACCACCATTCTTTATGGCCCAGCCGTTATTTGTATAGAGCTGCATTTACTACTAGAAAAGTCAATAAAAAATTGTCAGTGATCTGGGTATGAGTCGGCGTTTACGTCTGACTGTTGGCGAAATTGCCGGTGACATCCACACTACTCACACCCGTGATGTATCAATAAGCCTATGGAATGTATGAAAAACATGGGCGCCGGAGAGAAAGTCAAACAAATCAAGGATCAGTCCATTAACCAGCGATTTCAAAGTCATTTCCTTCTTTTCTTGTACACTTTCGGTTTGATCTGCCATAGTGTCGATACATTTGAAAGCGAAGTACGATACCAATGATTCTTCTTACTTTTTTTATCAGACTTTTTTTTAAATATCTATTAAAATAATGATTAGGAGAGCAGTGATAAAAACATGTTGTAAGCTCTCAAACTGACTGCTTCAGTATCTACATCGAGAATTACTGCTTTGTGATGGAGAAATGTTATAGTCGAACTATAGATCAAACGAGTAGTTCCACGTTATTTAATTGTTGACGAGTGTGTTATGCAGCACAAAGTTCATACTGTTGCAACAATATGGTTGTATTATACAGATAAACTTTGTATGAATTTATGTTGTTTAATAGTCATTTTTATAAAAAAAGGGGTTCTTCGACTACATTTCAAGACCAACTCCAGATTTTTACTATCTCTTTAGAATGGTATGTAGGCTGATTTCCAAACACCAACGAGAAAATTATATTTACATTAAAAACAGAACTCTGTGTTTTATCTGTACAGCAGACTCTAATATCACATTTGTCAACAGAGATAGAGAATGCTTATATTATCAGTTGTAAACAGTTTCAATCGAATAGAATTATCAAGCTTTGGGTTGTATGTTAAGGTTAATAAAAAGATTCTTGAGATCTTATCGTTAACGAGTCTAAGCTACAGACAAACAAGCAACATTGGCGATTTTTGACTCGCATAAAAGGTAACCATTTATTATTCTCAAAGGTGACGCCGAGAAAAAAATACCTATTATATGCTTCAATGTGTTACGTGATAAACATTATTCTATACATATTTTTGTAAAACAAAAATGAAGCATTGTTGAAAAATTCCAACTAAGAACAATATCATAAACGACACATACTTTCTTGTACCTATACATAATATTTCTGTTGAAATATCGACATCATTGATAATATTCTTCAAACAAAATATTCATAAATGGACAATTCAGTTGACAAAAAACGATCAAAAAAAAGTAGATTAGCCTGCATTTTCAAATTCCGACGTTGGAACAAATATTTTACACGCCCAACTCTTGAGGAATCTGCTGTTCAGAACATCCAACCAGGAAACATCGAAAAAGAAAAAGTCAATCAAAGAGAACAGAAAGCAATTGTTGAGCTGCGTAAGCGTCAAGTGCACAATATAATGGTACAAGAGTCGGACGAGAAGCATACAATTGCACAGACTTCAATGCATCGAAAATGTGCCAGCACCCTGAATAAATCGTTCATTTTCAATTCACATAGAACTCCACAATCAACGGTGGAATCACAAGCACTTAGAAATGACAATGTAGATGCCACAAAGCGAGATCGACTTGATGAAACTATCAAATGCGTGCTCAATAATCTATACATTCGAATATTTATGTCATTCTTCTTCGATTGTTTACTGAGCAAGTTGATTAGTTTAAACCGTTATACTTTATTATTCCTTGGATTCACTAGTGCACTCTATGTCGGAAGACACCGTTATCGAATTGTGTGTGCATGTGTAATACTCTTCGATTTTTATTCAATCATTAGAATACTCTATTGCCTGGCTATCTTAAATATTAGTCTCTACTAGGGGTGGACCATTTTTTTTAACGGAACTTAATTAATGACTTCCATTAGCCATTAATATTAATTCTTAATGTTTTCTGAGAAAAATTTAATGCATTAATATTAATGATTAATGAAAAACATTAACATTAATTTTAAAATTAATGTTTTCATTAATCATTAATATTAATGTCAATGTTCTTGAATGATATTAACGGTTAACGGAAACATTCACCNATGGTGAATGTTTCCTTTAACCGTTAATATCATTCAAGAACATTGACATTAATATTAATGATTAATGAAAAAATTAATTTTAAAATTAATGTTAATGTTTTTCATTAATCATTAATATTAATGCATTAAGTTTTTCTCAGAAAACATTAAGAATTAATATTAATGGCTAATGAGAAACATTAACATTAATATAAAATTAATGTTAATGGCCCACCCCTAGTCTCTACCATAAATTATCATTAGCTCTTTTTAGTGTTATTTCAGTGTTTGGTTATCGTATTAAAAACGATAAGGACATTTATGATAATCTTCCATTCGTAACGTGTATTGGTGATATAATTATTAGAAGTATTACTATTAATATATATGACGCTGTATTTATTCTACTTTGTCTTATAGTAGTATTCATATTGATGTGTTATGCTGTAAAATGGGTATATGAACTCTTCTCAGAGCTGGGCAAGTCAAGGCCAACATATCCAAAGTCAAGTCAGACTTGACTTGGCGTGACTTGGAAAATTTTTCGTTGACTTGACTTGCCTAGCCCCGATTCCTCTTGGAAGGTTTTGAACACATTGTGAAATCTCTATCCATGGTTACGGTGCAGATCGTGGCGGAAACGTTTAAAGGAACTGTGTCATCTAATTTTTTTCATTGAAAACTTACTAAAAGTCATTAAAACTATTTTGTTGGTCATGAATATTGCTCATAGTATCTACTCAGCTTCTAGGTCGCTGCTTCCCTATGAAGTAGATAATGGAAAGATTCGCATTAAAATGGTACTTTTTTTCTCCATTCAAGACCATTAAAATGCACGAAATATCTAACCTTGTGCGATATTACGAGAAGGTTCATGGTAAAATTTTGAGCATGTTTCGAAAGTAGCATACGATGAAATTTTTTGACACTGACTTTTTCTTACAGAAAATGGAAGAGGGTGTGGGTGCGATTTTTAAACCACACCCACGCCCACACCCTCGAGAATATCTGGATATCGGGAGCTGGTAATGGCTAATAGTATTGTATCTTATCAGTACTGCATGCATTTGCACTACACATCATTGTTGTGATAATCAATTTGAATGTATGATTATAATCAGTATGTTAATATTTGATGCTTATTAGCATAGCATTGCGTCTCGAGTAGATATTAGAACTCTCCTTAAAACACGAAGGGTATCGATCTCTCAATAGGATTGGCTGCAGTTGCATCAGTTACGGGTCCAATAATGATCCTCCATAAATCTAGTAATTGTGTAACAATCATGCAGCAAGCCATACTATCAATGAAGGTTGCTGATAAGTTCCATGTATTGGCTGTCTCATCTAACCGTGCAAACATAGGAAAACTCACAATGAAGTAGAAAGCATAAAACATGGACCCATACACATACATGGCATACCGATCAGGAATATTGTAATAAGGGAAATTTTGGATGGTAAACGTTTCTAAGAAGACCACAATATAACTCATAACCATCACTATGATTCCTACGTATAGGTAGCGTGCCGTTCCTTTGCAGATTGTACAACGCCATGCAACTCTCATCATGATCGATGCTAGGACATAGTACATATGAAAGTAAGAATGCGTGATCATATAG